GAGAGAGAGAGAGAGAGAGAAAGAGAGAGAGAGAGAGAGAGATGAGCCCAGTTTCCGGGAACACGAGCTCCACGAGACATGACCTGGTGACGTCATACAGGTCGGGTCAAACCGACACAGCTGATCTTGCCAGGTGTCTTTTTTTTAGTTTTCGTATAAGAGTTTTACGGCACTTGCTACACAATAAGGTCATATGAGTGCAGCAGAATTAGAGAATAGATGTGTTACAAGAAAGTAACAAACACAAGAAAGAAGGAAGAGAGATAAGGACGACAGATGTGTTTAATAGGAAAGAAGGAGCAAACCACACTATAGCACCTGCGAATCACCTGTAACACCATTTTTTTTCCTGCATTCTCACCATTTTCATTATTATTAAATGTATTTCTATTTTCAATTCTGTGTTATTATCATCATAATTCTAATATATAGATACAATAATTGATTTTATCATAATAATGTTCTTCAACTTATCATCACCATTTATTATTAACTCTATCCGTACGCCCTGAGGTCATTTTGTACCCCTGGGGTTGTATTCTTCACATTTTAGAATATTTCTAGAGTGAAGATCTCTTTGAAACTTAGTATTTGTCAAAAAATCATTTTGACAGACTGCTTTGCAAAAAGTGTACGGATCGGATTAACCAGTAAATTTCCTCTTTGGAAAGTGGTGGTACAGAGTTCCCCACATTGCATGGATATGATAGTAAAACATGACGTACAGATAGGGTTAAGTAGTTACAGAATTATCATCTATATTAACAACAGAGACCCCTTGCCCTGGAATGAAGCAAGAACTGCTCTAGACCAGCAAGACAACAGGTGGTGAAAGGAAAAGAGGAGAAAAAGTAAAAGGGAAAAAAGGGGCATCCGTAGAACCAAAGACAGATGGACAGACAGACAAAACAAACAAAAAAAACAACCCAAGTATGTTTGAATCTTGATCAGAGACATTGACAGGAAATAGAGTTGATCAAATAAGTCCACGGGAGACAACAAGCATTTTTTTATTTTTTAGTACGGTAGAGGTCTTACCAACTTACGGCGCTCGCAACTGCATATAAGGTCAAATGAGCGTCAGAAGATTAGAGGTGTTACATGAGAGTAACAAATTATAATCAAAAAGAAGAAGGGGAGATAAGGACGATAGAAGATGTTTGATAGGAAAGAACAGACAAACCACACCAGAGCACCCGCCAACCACCCACCAATAAAGCATCTTTAAACAAGCACTTAAGTTTACTGCAGCTACTAGACAGGACAGAAGCAGATGAAGTATCATGAAGGCACTTGCTTATGATGATTAACTCTACAAGGTGTCTGTGGTGTGGCATCACACACATGAAACCTGAGTTCAATTCCCCAGTGGGGACATATTTTTATCAAGTATCTTAGAGGTGTTACTATTAGAGCGCATAACATTAAAAAAAGGAGAAATAAAGGCAGTGGATGTTGGATAGGAAAGAAAGAGCAAACCACTCCATAGCATCTATTTGTTAACCACCCACTGTAGCATTGGCACTTATCTTCATCATACAAACTAGAATGCAATGTGTTGCATGTTGCTACTTCTCACAAGATGTGAACAAAATTGGAGATTCAGAGCAGTGTCAGTGAGGAACTGGCAACCAAACAGGAAACCATCAACAGCTGTTTGCCTGCCCAATGCTCCAGGCATTTAAAAATATTGGCCCAACCTTTGGTAGAGACACCCAATTAGCCCAATACTCTATAGGTGGGTAGGTGGGTGGAAGGGGGGGGAGGGGGCTGGAGGACCTGTGGCAAACAGCAGCCTTTGCCCTAGAATCTGGGAAGTCAATTTAACGATGAACGAGAAGAAGAAGACGAGACATGAACGTTTCCCTCGTCCTTCACTCACCTCCATCTTAGCGTTGCTCCACCTGGGGATCTCCACCACCATATTGAACACGCCCTTCTCCCGGTCCACAACCAGAGGGATGTCATGGAAGGGAGACACCACAGCTCCGGATTCATTTTCTGGGAAGAAAGAGACATTAGAGCCCATTGAAAATACAGTCAAACCTTCTTTAACAGCCATACCTGTATAAAATTTAGACAATCACCTGTACAAATGGTCACTTCCCATTTTCTCCCTGCCTTGCATATTTTTTTCAAAACAAATATAAAGACACTGTGAAAGACGTCCAGTCGAAGACAACTACTTTTTTATTTGACAATGGGAGGCTTTCTTTCAGACAACTTCGACTGCAGTAGTGAAAACAAAACAAAATTATCTTTGTACATAGTCATCAAGTGTTACATTTATTCATTCCTCCAATAAAAATCTTCTACTTATTTTTCTACCACCTTCCTTCATTACCACTTAGGGATTTAAGGTGTTCAAAAACGGTCACCCTGAAGTCGCATGAAAAACAGAGAGAAAAAACAAATTATCCATCCTCCAAGCCTGAATGACTCAGATGTCCAAGAAAAAAAGTTGGAATAAAATAATAAAAAGACCATTATATTGAGGCTCTAAAAATAAAAGAGGATCTTATGAAGTGACTGGCAAAATGTCCAATTTATTGAAATGCAATACCAGCTGAGCAGAGAATATATATACACAGTAGGGCCCTACCATTAGAATTCAGAATTAAGTAAGTAGTTTTTGTTCTCACCGTAACCAGTTCTTAGGTGAAAATTGTCTCAAAAGTCAAAGTCACAGCCATTAACATACATATTAAAATTTATCTTTTTAAAGAAATGGACTAAAGCTGTACTATTGATAATGATGATAAAGATTTAAAAACTATTCCTTCATCATTCAAAAAAGGAACAACATCGACATGCTAGCCAGATGTCAATTTATACCTTCTCTATCAAAATTGTCAAAATAATTTGATGGTTATAAGGCTATTGGGCCATATCCTCCTATAATAGAGAAGAGTTGTTTTTTTTGTCAAAGGTAAAGTTAAAGAGATGTCACGTATATTTTTTTTAATTAATAGATCTACAAGATTTTCATTTCTAGAACTTGGGAGTAAATGAGTTTGAAAAAATGTAGGCCTATTTCATCAAGTTACTTTACCACTTTTTAAAGACGGAATAAAATCTTTGTTTTATTTATAATTTAGGGTAGCCCACGCCACAAAATTCAATTCCTTTCATTTCTCTATCATTTCATGTCTTATTAACTTTTAAATATTTCTAGGGGACTCTCGTGGCCAAGAGGTTAGGGTGTTCGCCTTTCATTCAAAGATCCCGGGTTCTGAAAATTTTCTTCTCTACAATTGTCTCCTTTCAACTCCTTTCCTGCTCTCAGGCAATGGTCTGTCGTCTGCTTTCGTCTTCACTTTCAACCCCCACCCATTTATCCCCTCCTCTGGACTCCTGACTCTTTCTGCAAGCCTTTCTACTGCTACTCTCTGGCTCCTTCTTGCTGCTGCTGTCTTTCAGCCACAGCCCTGATTTTTCTGGTAGAAGATCTACATCCAGCCTCGGTCAAGGGTGAAAAATCTCAGAGGTACCGTGTGCAAGTTGCGCATGTTTAAGATCCCTCGGTGGTATAAAATCGACAAAAGAAGGCTTTTTCAGCCACCACCCAGGCAAAATTCCAAATTTCCTACAAACTGAAAATGTTATGTGTCCCACATACTCATATATGACCTTTTGGCCTTATGCAGTTGCGAGCGCCGTAAAACACTCACCATAAAAAAATATTTTAAAATATATTTCTGGCATCTCAGATCTTTTCACTTTTGATTCTAAACAGTGAGCATTGAACAAGCAGACAAAAATTATAATTTTGATAGTGGTGATGGCGTCGCTTGACAACACTCAGAGGGCTTCTTAATTTTACATTGGCCACCTCTATTCTCACCCGGAGTGAGAATAGTGCAGGCGAGTCTTGTGGCTATTCTCACCCGGTGCGCGTTCACCAAATTTTGCGTTCACCCTAAACCACAGAATTCTACACTGTGATAACAGAAAAATTGTAAAATTCTGTGCCGTGAACAAACGTTCCATTACAACTGTAGCCTACTAAAAGCGTATAATTTTGTCTGTGGGCAGTGGAGAGAGAGAGAGAAAGAGAGAGAGGAGTAGCGCGAGAATTTCCGGGCAAAACAAAATGGCGACCCGCGTAGTTCGGCTCGATTCGAAAAGTTAAATAGCCGTAGCATCTTTGTAGACAACCAAATTAATTTACTTTTGTGTTTTAACATCATTTTTTTACTTTGTTTTGGTCAATTTGATCGTCCACTCCGATAGACAGTATTCAGAAAGAGACAGAGAGAGAGAGAAGAGGGGAGGAGTTGATCTTGCGAGAACTTCCGGGCGGGTGAGAATAGCCACTTTCTTTTACATTAGTAGTAGATTCTAGATCTATATTAGGATGATTAGGTGTACACACTAATTGAGAAAAGGCTTGCCTCTACACAACACAGATCTAGATCTAGATATAATCTAGATTCTAGATCTAGCCAAGATCAGACATCTAACACCTTATGTCACACAACTCAATCAATGTGTGTCTCAAGCTCTCCATAGAATCCAGACCTTGTCCTTACTTTTTAGGCCCTAGAGGTCTAGATCTTGATTACTAGATCTAGCCTCTAAATAGTCTAAATACAGTTGAGTTAATATTTTACGATCAGATAATAAGGAGTAAACACAGCCATACACTGTGCTCGTACTATACTGTAGGTTTTCAACACACTACACATTACAATGGTGATACACGCTGGCACTGCCATCACTAGCAGTAGCAACACACAGGGTCCGAGTCAAGTCAGAGGGTCAGTCAAAAAAACTTACTAAAAAACACTCTGTAGTTATCCGTGTTAGGGGATCCTCGCTCAACAGTAGAATAAGGCATCTTGGAACAGGCAGCTGCTGTGTACGATAAGTGAGATGAAAGTGTGGACAAACGTAAGCTGGCTAAACCTTTATTCACCAGGCCGGCTCCCGCTCTTCCCACGGCTAGAGCGATTTGTGAAAAACCTAACATGACGCGAGGTGCGGAGACTCGCAACCAGCGGTACTCATTGAGGAGGATGGACGACCTTGAGAATACTCGATTACTCTCTAACTTTGGCGAGTACACAGAGCGTGTCACATGATCGGTCAGTGGCGGGTTGACCTGGTCAATTTCAAATCGATTTCCTCCTTCGTAAATTACATGAGGACTTGCTGAAATGTCATATTATATCATTTGGTGTTTCCATTTGGGTTATATTTAGTGTGCCTAAACGGAAAATAAAATAATCCAACACACCATAGAGCTTTGTAAGATCATGCACCCTTTTCTAAGAATCCAAAACCAACCAATTCTCTCTCTCTCTCTCTCTCTCTCTCTCTCTCTCTCTCTCTCTCTCTCTCTCTCTCTCTCTCTCCAT